ATATAATATTATCTTTAATAATTACTTTACTAAGTGCTCTAATAAAGAGCTTCTAGTAGTATCTATTAGTTACTCTACTTTTATATTCTCTAGTGTATTCTAGATTATAGGTAGTGTTACTAATTATTACTTAAGTGTTAGGCTTACTTCTAATTATAGAATAGTGTTAGTAATACTATAGACTTACTTATTTAATAAGCTTTATAAGTTAGAAAAGTTATAATTACTTTTTAACTATAAAGTTATAAAGTTATAGTAGAGAGAAGATAGATATTTATAACCTAGATATAAAGCAACGTAGAATAGTGTAAAGATTAAGTTTAAGTAATAATTAAGATTCTATATATAGGTCTATCTAGGTACTTATAGAGGTTTTAATGTTTCTTATATAGACTACTTACCTAATATAGAGCTAGGCCTAATTAGATAGAGATTATAGATTTAATTCTTTATATCTATAGGTTATACTAGTTAAGATTACTATAATTATATCTAGATAGATAACTTTATATAATAATTCTATCTATATCTTATATATAAGCTACTATTATAATATAAAGCGTAGCTACTATAATATAATTATACTATTATATAAGATTACGCTATATACGTATAAAGTCTAAACTAGTTTCTAGTAGAAACTATACGCTACTAGATTAGCTTAGTATAATAAAGTTCTATATAGATATAATATTTATAGCTTTACGTATATTATAATAATTAAAACATTATTAGATCTATTTCTATCTACTATCTTAGTTTACTTTATAAGTTAAAGCTACTTATAGCTTACTTTAGTAGAAGAAAATAATTATAGTATAAAGTTTATATTATTAAAGCTCTTTTCTATAGTATATTAATATAGTCTAATTAGTACTTTATTAATAAGAATTTATATCTATCTATAATAGCTAATAACTCTATAAATATAAATTCTAAAAAGAAGCTTTATATTATTACTCTTAATAGTCTTACTATTATATAGAGAAGAATAGTAGAAGAAAATATTTTTACTAATCTTAGTACTATTATTACTACTAAAAAAGTTAACACTATTCTTATATAAAGTAGTAAATTATATATTTTATTATTATCTACTACTAACTTTCTAAAGAACTAGATTTTACTTACGCTAATAGTATAGTACTTTTATAGACTAAAGATACTAGCTTTAAAATAGATTATAACTATAATAATTTTATAAGATATTAGTAGGCTATATAATAATCTTATAGTTAGCTATTTAATATTTAGTTAGGCTTTACTTATACTTATCTATAGTTATAGTGTAGAATATATCTTATTTAACTACTATATAAGCTAAATATTATCTATACTATACTAGAAGAGATAAGAGATATAACTAGAATAAGAATACTAGAGTAGAATATTAGCTATACACCTACTTATCTCTATACACTAAGATAGCCTTAATATATATAAAGTAGTCTTCTAGCTTAGATAGTAATAGCTACTATAACACTTTATAATCTATAGAGTAAGAGTATAATATATTATAAAAAAGATTCTATCTACTTAAAAGAGTTTAATATATATATTTTTAGTTATAAACTTTATAGTAATAGTATAGATAGTATTCTTTAGCTTATAAAGAAAACTATAAGTATCTATAAGTAGTTAGAAGGTTTAATTTAACTTAAGCCTACGCTATACTAACTATATAGTAGTAACTTTATCTAGAAATTTAATAATAGAGAAAGTTATATATATAGCTTTATATAATATAAAGTAGATTATATATTAAAAAGTATTATTATTTTAGTATTCTAGCTAAAAGAAAAGTTTAACTATCTTATTTAGAAAGATACTATAAACTTCTATCTTAATCTATACGCCTATAATTAGAGAAATCTAGATACTTTCTAAGAATATTAATATAGTGTAAACTACTAAGTCTACTATATATCTATAGTTTTAGAAATTATATAGTATTTTCTAAAAATATTAGATAACGCTTATATAGGTTAAGAAGCTAATATTTATAAATAATAGTTAAGTAATAATATAGATAAACTTAATCTAGAGAAAGTATTAGAACTATCTAGAAAAACTAATAGAATTAAAGTAGCTAAGCTATATAATAAATTAAACGTAGATATAGAAACTAACCTAGTTATTAACGTAGGTAAGATAGCTATACTATAAGTAGCTATAGAATATATTTAGTAAAAGTTTAATTAACTTTCTAAAAAGAATAGAAAAGCGTATATACTACTTCTAGAGAGTTTCTCTAAATTATATTTCTTAGATAATATAGTTATTATAAACGTAGATAAGTTAAAGAAACTATAAAATAATTATATTATATAGTTATAGTTATATAAATAGTATAACCTTATAGATATTAAAAGTATTATTATCTATATAGTACCTTAAGGCGCATTATTATATTAACTTAATAAGTACTTAAAAATACCTCTTTATAGCACTACTTTACTACTAGCTAATTACTATATCTTTCTTTTTATTATACGCTAGCTAGTATATATTTTAGACTACTAACTACTTCTAGTTAGAAGTAATATTCTCTAATAGATTTTCTTTATCTCTATAAATAAAATTTAGTAGTTTAAAGCCTTATATTTATACTAGTAGAAGTCTAAACTAAAATTAGAAAACGTAGAGTAGTCTTTTTAGCTAATATAGCTTCTTTACTTTACTAGTTATAGTTTAAGTATTAATATAGTAAGAACTATAGAAGAAGAACTCTATAAATAGAATACGCTTAAGAGTATAGTATAGTCTCTATATTATTTTAATAATTTTATAGAAGTAATACCTCTTAGTAAGATATTCTAAGCCTCTAACCTATATAGAACTAGTATCTAATTACGCTATAGCTAGTAAATAGAAAAAAAAAATATAATAGCTAGAGTAGTAATAATATAAAAGATAAAAGTAGTAAAAAAAACTATAAGAAAATTCTTAGGTTACGTAATACTAAAAATAAAAAAATTGTTAGATTACACTCTATCTACATATCTTATAATTCTAAAATAGTAATTTAGAAAAAAAGTGTTTTTAAGAACTTAATATAGCTAGAATAGATAGTATAGTTAATAACTTAAGATAAGAATTATATTAAATAGTAAGCTAGAAAGAAGAATAAAAAAAAAAAATCTTATCTTAGCTATATTCTAGCTACTATACTTATAGAGTTATTTAAAGCGTTTTTTAAAGATATTCTACTTAGAGAAAGATATTCTAGATAACTAATAGTTAACTAGCTATAGAATATAAAGAGAGTAAAGTAGATATATATTAGTGCTAATTAGCTAAGTAGATAATATAAATGTAAATTAATAGACGCTATAATATTCTAGAACTTAATTCTTATAGCTCTATCTAAAGTAGTTAATAGTAAAATAGATAAAGAAAGAAAGAAAGTAGATAGATATTAAAAGTAGATAGAGAAATACGTAGAGAAAAAGTCTATATCTAAGTAATTTACCTAAATATATATAAACTAGCCTAGTATATAATATATATATCTTTAACTTATAGGTTCTCTTATTTATAAAAGTATCTTATTATTTATATTATTAAAGTTATAGAAGTTATAATTAGCTTATCTTACTTTAGGTTATCTTTAGGTTATTATATATAATATATAAAATATATAACTACTTAATTTACTTATATAATTATATACTAGTGTTACTTATCTACTATATAAGTAGAACTTCTTTCTTCTAATCTCTTCTTTCTTTCTATCTAGTTTAATACTACTACTATATAATTCTAATTAACTCTTTAATATACCTAATATATTAGTTAAAATAGCTTTCTATAAAAGTAAACTATAGCTAGATACTTTAGAAACGCTAGAACTATTTAATAAGAATAAAATAAAGGTATAGTCTACGTAAAAGAAAACTATAAAGATAACTATTCTAAAATAGAATTCTAAAGACTAGTATCTTACTTTTACTTTATCTATTAATTACTAAATACTATATAATAGTACTTTTATTATAGAAGTTAAGAATTATAATAATAATATTCTACACTATACTAGTAGTTTATATATAGAAAATAAAAATAGAGATAAAACACTAGAAGACTAAAAATCTCTTATACTATAGATAGCGCTAAAATAGCTATAAAAAAGTATAAAGTTTAGTAATATTTACTTTATTTATAAAGCTAGAATAATAGTAATAAGTTTAAATAACTTTTAGTATAGTATAAAGATAAGTTATAAGTTTATTAATTTACTTTAGTAAAATCTAATATAAGCTAATTAAACTCTAGATAAATATCTATAGTTCTTTATAAAAGACTAATAGTATAGTATAATATATATATTTTAGTTTATCTAGAATAACTTAACTAGATAGAAGAGTTTTACTATTATTAAGCGTTAGTATCTATATAGTCTATAAAGTATACGTATTTAAAAGTAAGTACTATAGTAACTAAGTTTTACGCTACTTCTAATAATATAGTAGTAAATAAGAAGTTTTATACGTTTTCTTTAACTTAAAGCTAACTAAATCTATATATAAGAAGCTACTAGTATACTTTAGTAACTAATATCTCTAGCTTAATATACTAGACCTACTAATAAACTACTAGAGTTATATAGCTACTACTTTTCTTCTCTTCTACTACTAAAAGAAAACTAAATATATACTTATAGTTATAAATATAGAGTATATAAAAAAGCTTATTAATAACTTAGCTTTAAGACAAGAATAAAGAAATAGTATTCTAAGAAGTAAATATAGTAAATATAGTAGTAAAGCTAATTAATAGTATATAACTTAGTAAGAACTAGTAAATAGAGTTTTAGGTTTAGTATAAAGTAAGAAAGTAGTATTAGAAATATAAAAGAAGAGCTAAAACTATAAAGTAAAGTAGCTTTACTTTTGTAAGACTTCTATATAGGTTAAGATCTTAGACTAAGTACTATTTGTAGGCTCTGCTTAACTCTTCTATATATTAATTTGGCGATTAATGCGCAATTGTCCGTTCTCTTAGCAAAAAGGTATGAGCCCTCGAGCGTGACATTCAGGCCACGCGATAGAGTCGTCGTCTTCGTCCAGTACAATCCATCGTATCTTCTTCCTCGCTTCTGGGCGAAGACGCTTCATATATCCGATAGCAACGGCAGCAGCTGAGGACCGGTTCTTGTCTTCTGCGAAGAACTCGTTCATGCCGTATGCAGAGCGGGCATATGGTCGCAGCTTGTCTGCATTCCTTTGCAGCTCGTCGAGTTCGTCGTCGGTGGGAATCAGCCACGGCTCGACTGCTGAGCCTTGTGAAATTTTCAAAAGGCTTTTCAGATAGATGTGCGGCATTTCCGGCGGGTCTGTTGCCGAGCCTGGGCAAAACCGCGGCCTTATGGTATCCAGTGTTGATGCAATGAAATCGCGGGTGATAGAAGGGACTTCCTTCCACTGTTCTCTATACCGGTCGACATCCGTGTCACGCAATGTCTTTGCATGATCAAGGAGGGGTAGAAACTGGGCGTGGTTTGTTCGAACGTAGGAACGAGCAGCGTCGTCATACCAATCTGACATCGTGAGCAGCCTTCGTAAAGCCCTGTCTCGCGTATTGGATAGCTCGGTGAGGAGGTGACGGATCTGCGAGTAATTGGGCTTCGTCATAGGTAGCGCAACCGTGGTGAAATGTATCTCGTTGTATTTGAACACGAAATCGCGCGTTTCTTGCGCGATGAGCTTGTTTACTGTCCTGAGTGCCATTGCATTCTTTTCCTGATGCGATGCGACAAACTTGTTGGTTGCTGGATTATAAGTGTAGCCATCTTCAAGCCTGAAATAGTATCCATAAATCTCTTCTCGGAGTTCTGCGGGCAGGCCAACAATGCCCTGCTTTGCCAGCACTGAAACGTGATTGATTTCGTGAGCCATGGTGGTCGTAGGTCGCGGAGGGTCGGAGAATGCGTTGCGATGGTGAAGTTGCGGAGAGGCGAGGCAGCTCGGCAAGATGCGATCATTGATGTGGGGTCGTATCTCATAACTAGCGGGACGCTACGGTGGCATTTAACGAGGTTGGGGAGCGGGCTCCTCACCTACAATTCCGGTCCAAAACTTACCGGGTCCACAGCCAAAAATCATGTCTGATGCAGACGACGGTGTCAAAGCGTCTGATTCGCTCTCCAATAGCTACCTCGGCAGGCTACCACAGGAGTTGCGAGACGAGGTTTACAAGCATTACTTCACGACGCGTGGTGGCTATCGCATCGATCCCATCACGAACACTTTGCGTGCAGTTGATGGAAATCCCATTAATCTATCATTGAGATCAACATGTCACGCGATCGCGAAAGAGACGGAAGGGTTAGCGCTCCAATGCAACACCATCCACGCCACGACTACCGAAGAGAAGCGCTTCGCAAAGGCAACTTACAACTCGTGGAGAGTAACAAAAGGGCATTCCTTCGATCGTCACAGGGCTCTGGTGAAGCTCTCTAAGTGCATTACCCCAAGTGTAGCCGATGAGATCCTGGAAGGGTTCCCTCAGTATAGGGACGCACTGCAGGAGTTGATAGCAAACAGAAATAGGGAGGGGCCAGGTAGGGAATACATGCGCTGCACTCCTCCCACAGCTACAGAGCCCTGGTCTACGGAGCTGAGATTCGTCTCCCGTGCCGTGAAAATAATGAAAGAGCGCTTGGATCTCCCCGGAACACTCTTCAGAGCTATAAGCCATCTGCATTTCTGGGTGCTATCAGAGACCGATCCGGAGCAGCAAGCGCCCTGTTGGGAATTCCAGAGGAAAACGAACCCTTTCGAAATCGCTTTCAGCCGGATCGATGGAAGGCCTGTTATGAAGGAATATAAACCGTCATCCTGCTTTTCCGCAGCGGCCGTAGCAATACGATTCTGGAACGCCCTCGACCCGACGACCCGCAGGCAAATCCGACACTTCGATATAGACGAGGAGAGGCGCTCCAGATTCTTCCCAATGTGCCATGCGGAGGGCTTCATCCCGTTGTGGCAAGAGAACCCCAAGCTTCGCATCAATCGTCGCGTCAATCTCATCAATACTATTGTCGAAGAAGCTCGTCAACCTGATAGACGGGCTTGGCATCGGGAGCACGCGCATCATGCAGACAGTAGGTGCTGTGGAAGCTCAAAGCTCAAGATTAAAGCTGACAGGCGCACAGAATTAAAAACACTTTGGGATTGGATTGTCGAATTCAAAGCACTACATGCGGCATTTGACATACCCAAAGGAGCTTTCGGTCTCTCCTTCTATTCTGACGCGTCGCCTGAAGACACTAAAGAGATAGCCAATGTCATTCAAGAAGCGGCAGCCTGGCAGATGGCGCTCAACAAAGTAGCGAAGAACGGAAACGCAGGTAACACGCATGCTCTTGGCTTCAATTACTCGGATTACCTCTGGGATCCACGCGGGCTGGCGTGGCAGGAATTGCAAGATATATCAAAGGGTTCCTCGGTGATCAAGTGCGACTTTGATATGGCCCAGTCTGTGGACCCAAAGGACTTGTATGATGGCAGTGGTCGCTGGCCGCATGAGAGATGGAATAGACACTGTGCTGTGAATGACTCCAACAGTTGGCGGCTTGCGTGGCAAGTACGATAACATCTATCGGCCGCATTCCACGATACCAATGAAGCAGAACACTACCAGGTACAGAAGTAGTGATAAATGCGACATACTCAATTAATCTTTCAACTAAGCAAATCTCGCGTCGCGCATCTACCACACCACATCCCCCAAAAGTCTACCCTACGACCCCCCAAACCCCTTCTCCAACCCCCTCAGCCAAATCCCCGCAGCATACGCCCCCGGATCAGGAATTTTACTCCTCTCACTCCCATCCTCACTGATATACGTCGCGCGCCCAAACTTGGCCTTCATATCCTTCGTGCTATCCGCCTTCTTCTCCGCCACATCCACACTCTTGCTCAAGTCCTTGCTTTCAGCCAACGTATTAATGAACGGAATAAGAACGTCCATGACCGTCCTATCACCTTCCCGTGCACTAGTATAGTTCTTGAGGTTCTCGAGAGCGGCGGACGCGGAGGAAGCGAGCGTTGAGATATCCAGCGGTGCGTTTTGGGATAGAGTTGCTTTTGAAAGCGCGTTCGTGAAGGCGGTGACGAGGATGGAGAGGATGGCGCCGAGGGAGCCGCCGACGTCTTCGACGTTTTCGCCTATGCTTTCGAGGAGGGCGAGGATGGGTGGTGGAGAGCCTTCTACGGCGTCGATGTTGGCGAGGATGGACTTGCAGACGCCGGCTACGGCTTCGCCGCAGTCGCCGTCGCCCATTTGGAGGTCGTATTGTGTGATTGTGGGTTCGGCTGCGAGGGCGTCTTTGCAGGCTTGACGGAGCGCGGGGATGAGGGATGCGGGTGTGGCGGGGCCCTTGTGGAGGAGGGATTTGTCGGCGGCGGCGGCGTTGGCTTTGTTGCGGAGCTCTTCGGTTTCCTTGTTGATGTTGAGGGACTGGTAGCCGTTCTTTGGCCATGCTGGGGCGTTTGTGGGTGCGTCTAGCAGTTCCATGACGTCTTCGTCTTTGAGATCCATAGCCTTTGCCATTCCGCTCATGTTGCCAAGTGTGATGCTGAAGCCTTGGGCGTTGAGCGATGTTTCCAACACGCCGGCGTAGATGCGTGTTGGTACGATCTTCCAGTCGCGCTTCAGGGCTATCAGGGCGAGGTTGACCAAGGCGTCGAATTCGAGGTTTGATAAGCCGCCGAAGTTGTTGACGAGCATGACGACGTTGTCGTTGGGGTTGAAGGTGACGAATGCGCGGTCGGAGTCAGACGGGTCGAGAAGGTAGCGGAGCATCTCTTTGATCACGTCTTCGGGACTGGGCATCGGGGAGATGGTTCGTAGACCCTGAGGAAGTCAGTTTGCGGCTCTAACATTGCTGGGTAGAAGATAGCGAAACTTACAGGCTCGTTGTGAATACCCATACCAACCACACAAGCATCGTCCTGTACGCTCTCGAATGCCTCTCGACCTGGTACATGGCAATGGTCCAGACTCGTGCCAATAGTGACCAGCTGCGAGTTGCCCAACTCGCCAATCTTCCTACACCGTTCAAAAGCCCAACCTTTCTGTGATGCAGCACCAGCAAGCTTGATGACCAATAAGTTACCAGCCAGTCCTCTCCTTCCTACCTTGCCGCTCTTCTCGCGACCCAAGGCAGCGTCCTCCGCCATGCACACAACGTCGACTTTGTAGCCAAGTGCTTGCCCCTTCTCTCTGGCAAGACCGAAATGCAGCATATCTCCTGTGTAGTTTGTTATGCACAGTATGACACCCTCATTACTCGGTACATTCCGTATTCCTGCCATGATCTGCTTGGTACTGGGAGAAGCGAAGATGTCACCGCACACGGCAGCTGACAGCATGCCGTCGCCGACGAAGCCGGACCATGCCGGCTCGTGTCCTGAACCGCCGCCAGATACGATAGTGACCTGGTTTGGAGGATGGGAGAGGTTGTAAACGACGCGGTTGGCTTCATCGAGCGCCATGTGGGAGTTGCGTGTGCATAGGGAGCGAAGGTTGTGGAGGACAACGCCCTCTGGGTTGGGGAAGAAATGCTTTCTCGACATTGTAGCAATTCGTATGATATGTGTAGTATTCAAAAATCTGGAGGTTGTTAGCGATTGCAATGTGTTTGACAACCGTAGTGTGAAGCCGGAGGTTGACGGAGAACGTACCTCAGTTCAATCAAGTATGCCAACGTATGCACAACTCGAAAATAGCAGAATCAAACCCAAAAGATCAGGGCACGCGGCGTACCGCCAATTCAGCCGGGCATCGTGCCTTTTAAACAAGTCCCCCGCATCCCCCGCCTCGATCAACATCATGACCATGAACCCCGCTCGTAGGCACCCCGTCGACTCAATTTTTCGGTGCCAGGTATTCAACACGCGTCTAGAAGCCTAAACACGCGCTCAAATTAGCCCGAAACGATGTCAGAATGATATGCTAGGCTTGGGTATACTGCATTCAGATAAGTGGGCAGCTGGAAGCTGGAGAGAGGGTCGTGTTTGCGCCGGGGTTGCCGCTTTGGGAATGCCGGGTGGAAGCTTGGCTTTTGTGGAGGAAGCTCGCATCGGTCGGAGCTCCGAGAGCTATTAGGTCGGCGCCTCGCGACGAGACGCTGGCAGTACCTGCAGTATCCGCGCGGTTCGTAGGATTTGCGACCTCGCGGAATAAATCTGGGCTTTGTAGGACACGCGTGCAAGCCTGTCAAAATTGGATTTCGAGTATGCAGGCGAGCTGATCGTATTGATATCATCGCAAAAGGAAGCGGGCTATGATCGCTCCCTCCTCAGTACCTGCAAATCGACGGAGCGCCTCACTCACAACTCTCCGTTATCCAGTGCCCACACATCATGACAAGAAGCCGAACAATCCCTTCAGGAAAAGCCAGACCCCAATCAAGATCATGACTTTCTCGTCAAGCATGATCATATAGCCACACATGATCTTCTAGTCAAACATGATCTTCTTGCCCTTCAACAGTGTGCCACCGAGCAGTTTGCCAACTGCGTATCCAATGTAAGCGCCGGTAACGATGGTGACGGGCCACTTCTGCCATTCGCGGTCCCTGCGTTTCGTTAGCTATGCCCAGTGCAACTACGTTATGGTCTCCATTCTCAACACTCGATTCGGTCAAGTACTCACCAATCCAAGGGGATAGGTACAGCGCCCAGCCATGCACCGAGCACGGTACCGATTAGCCCTCCGTAGACTTCATCCATTGGCAGAAGTAGCGCGATGATCTGCCTCCAAGTCTCGCCGTCTACGCCGTGTACGTATACCAAAGGCAGTGTGCTGAGCAGCGCGATGTGGGCTCCAGCGAGGAGAGTGTGCAAGTGATGCGTGGTGGCAGGCGCGCCGAAGAGAACGAGAGTCGCGGTGAGGAGCGGTGTTGCGGCGAGCGTGGTAAGGAGGAGAGATAAGAATGCCGGCTGTAACCGTAGTCAGTAGCGTTTCTTTCGAATATGCTGTCGAAACCCTGATGTAGGCTGTACGAGTGTGAGTGTAGACATACGACAATCTTCGAGTTGAGCCCCTGCTCCAGCTTGCCCGGTGCCTTCCCTTTCTTCTCACCAGGCTTCTTGTTCTTTAAGGAAGGCGTGCCTCCTGTCGGGGGCAGGCATACTGCCACAAAGGCGATTTGCAGCACGGCGAGCGGCGCAAGTGTGGAAAGGAGCGTCGGCACCGGGTCCGCCACTAGGGCAGGAAACTTGAAGGCATAGACCGAGAGAACGAGTATCGGGTGTATGTGCGTGTAAAGTCGCGCAGTATCGGTTTTCAATGGCTCAATTGGCGGCGCCGTGGAGGGTTGGACCTTTGCCGTCGCGTTGGCGTTGATGACAGTTGTGCTGGCCATATTTACGAATGAAATGGAGGGATGATGGTGCGCGCTGAGTGCAAAGTGGTAGAGCTACCAATTGACAGGGCGATGTAATATGAGCGGCGTCTGAATGAGCGGAAGTGGCGCCTGGCCTGTTGGATTGCTGTAGTCGCGGGTGTTGCGGAGGAATGTCGCGCATCGGAAAGTTTCGTGATGATGTCCGTGCTGTTCGCTCATTGGACAGACAAGAGACCATCACTCGAGCACCTCCATGGTTTATATGAGGTCGCAAACACATTTGAGCTTTGATAAAATTCATTGACTGCTTATCTGTCTTGACCTTTTCTTCATCCATCTCATGGCATGTTCCTCGTGCGACATGTATCTCGGTCGTAGCATTCCTCCAGCATCACCTTGCAGACATCTACTGCTTCTGTTCGCCCTTCTTCGGTAGCAGATTCCTCAAAGAAAGATCGTAGACCACGTCCTCCACATCCTTGACTCGGTACTTCAGTCCGTCGCTGCGGCGGCGCAAGCTATCGTTCTTAAGGTTGAGGATCTGGAAACCTGCGTGCAAGTCCTTGACAAACTGGTTGATAAGAAGCGGACGCTCGTAATCACCGAGAGTGACGGCATTACGTGCGAGGCGTGTCTGTGATTGTCAGAATCGATGGAGGTTGAAGTTGAGCAAGGCGACAAACCAATTCTTCGACGAGCGTCATGAGGGAATGGAGGTACTCTTCGAGCGAGAGATGGAACTCATCGCGGTCCTTGAGGTTCACAGGGACTGCTAGAATTAGCGATGCGCATTTGTACCATAATCTTGAACATACTCTTGAAGATCTCGCCGAGCTCCTCGATGGTCAAGAGACGGCCGCACTGTACCTCGCCACCGTCGTACTTGTAACCACCGAGCCAGCCCCAGAACAAAGCGCTCTCGCACTGGTGTGCTGTCAGTATTGCGATGATGATATTGTGTGGTTGATGAGCTTACTGCGCCCTGCATCTGACGGCTCCACATGTTGTTGAACTTGTAATACGGCATCTTGGACGCAGCCTGCGACAGGTTGCCGACGGTGTCGATCACATTTCCGATAGGCTCTTGTGCCGCTTTTAGGATGTCGGGCACTGCAGTTCGTTTAGTTGTGATGTAACCAAACCTGCGCAGAGCGACTTACGCTCGCTGACAGGTGTCGAGTGGGCTCTAGACAACACGAATGAGACGTTGCGGTCTACAATATATCAGTATAGTCCGCTACTCTTGTAGAGAATACTTACTGTACTTCTCAAGCGCCTGGATGATGTCGCGCAGCTCCTGTCGCGTTGTGAGTACGCTATCACGTGCAGCTTCATCGGCCGCCACTTACATCTCGGGTCGCAGTGTCTTCGTCTACGCGCGCCTGAAGGTCCTGGAAAATGGCCGGGTTGACCATACCTGAGTTCGCTGCCATTTTGACGTGTGGTTTGGTATTGAGGCGTTGTTGCGAGGAAGTTCGTGTTGGTGGCTGAGTTGACGATTGTTTGTCACGGCAAGCTACGAAATTTGGGTCTCACCGCGCAAAGTTGCTTTTACTCAGCTGCAACCACGCAAAGTAGGCTACCATTTGTACGAGTTCTACATGGAAATTTTGTCTTCGTGTCAAATGGGCTACATAATTAGGTGATAGGATCGAAGTCCAGCGCATCCAAGGACAGGTAGCATGCGTGCGCCACCAAATGGTATAACACAGCAACCACGACCTTATTCCAAGCACTTTAAAACAACACTCCATGACAATAGACTATGTTATTGTATGACCTCAACTAATCCTTGCTTTCAAGGGCAAGATGAAGATAACCGATAAAGATCTCACAACACCAACACGGTACGGTACCACCCTTACTTTTACCTTGACGCAAACAGCGAATACAAATGTCTTATGTCATGCAAGAAGTCGTGCAATACTTGAAGATTGATATTGCATTACGCTCATGCAGTGAGTACCATAATGACGTTGGGAACATCCAACTGATGATCTCTTGATTCGAAAGCACTGATACTCACGAACAAACAATGGCAATATCACGATCAAACTTCTTCCTCAAGCAACTGGCAAGCCAGTAGTCTCAATGAAAAAGTCGCGTCTGCCAGAGATAGTGAAATACTGGCGACACTGTGTCAAGGAAGGTGAGCAAGCCCAGAGCCTCCTCGACAGGTTTCAAAAATAGGGATAATCGTGAATTCTCCCGTGGGAGAGTTTTAGCGATTAAACTAAAAAGAACAGATACTACACTTGATCTAGGGGATGTTAGTAAATTTCAAAGTTAGAGGGTAGAAGGGACGTACCTAAGCCAAAAGGCAAAGAGAGCTAAGGAACAGAAGAGGAGGCAGAGGGACGGCAGCGAAATATACTCGGCCTGGCCTTGGCGCGCTAGACATCACGTGAGACCCAGTAGCGTCGCACGTACCTTTTCTGCCTGCTGGCGGGAGAACTCCGGCATTCGGGCGCCCGTAGAGCATTGCCGGTGATGGTGAGTCTCCAGGCACCAGTATCACGCGTCACCTTTGCCTGCTCAGACGCGTCGTACTTCTTTGCGTGGCGGCTCCCAGACTCACTTTCACTGTCCAGATACGTCATCAACTTTGCGACGAGATCCATCCCCAATGGCCATTACGTAGGTATGCTTCGTCTGAGGATGGCGTTGCATGAGCGCAACAAGATGCGTCGCGAAGTGACCTGACTACATATCCCGAGTTGGGTACAATGTTAGCGTATACGTGGTGCTTGAAGTTGTACCCCTCATGAAAGGACGGTGATGTATACGTCTGAGCAACACTTCATTTACAACTCATCAAGAACAACCATCTTCGCATGCGGGTACATTCACATTCGTTTATGCTGATAGCGAAGAAATAGCAATGCTGCCTTTCAAGACGAGAACGCTCCGCCACCCTCTCGAACAGATGCTTACCGCGAGTTGCTCCACGCTCCATCACGCCATGTCTCTCCCACTGTAACATTACTGCAAAGCCTTCAGACCCCAATAATTCGGCGAACCCGTCCGGCTCGCGCCCTTCTAGTACACCGCATACCTCTTCGTTTAACTCGCCTTCTTCGTAAGCTTCGGCTTGCCGCGCACCATCTTATACCTTATACTCAACTTGACGACGCGACGCTCCTTCTTTCCCGCACTCTTCGCACGCGTCTGGCGACCTTCCACCTCCCTTGGCTCCGCATCGACCGCATCGCTCGGCGCCACCATCGCGAGTTGTTCACGAGCGTGGAACTCACAGCTTAAGAATCTCGCCTCTTCGCAAAACCAGTGGAAACTTAGAGCGTAGCCGGCCTTTCTTGTGGTGTTGTATTCTCGACTTTCGATGAGCGAGATGTTGTCGTAGAGGAGTTGGGTCGCCCAGCTCTCGCCATCCCATCCGACTTTCATACTTAGCGCTGATATATCGATGCCTTCTTCCTTTACGCTTTCGTCGGCTAGCGAACTGGGCGTCATAAGGCCGATTGTATCGCGTTGCGATGAGGATGTCGCGCGGTGAATGCGTGGGGCGATGGCATAGAGGAAGAGAGGGCTGCGCAACAGGAAGCAGAGGTCGTCTGATGCTCGCGATTAGTTGATTGCAGTTATACTGGCTTGGCTACTTACCAAGGAGTTGTGTTCGATCGTGCGACGGTAATTTGCCCAAAGAGTCGTCGAGTGAGCTTTGGAGATGACTGCGCAGCCTGTCTTTGGGCTGCCCAAGACGGAGCCTTAGCTTCATCGCTCTTGTCGGTTGTGTGGCGGTTCAGAAGACGGGTTGCTGGTGGTCTTTAGGCCGTGCTGAATCTGTCCCGGAGGTCGCGCTGCGTGAGAGGCCGCAGGGTCGTGAATGGTGAGACTCCCGCGATAGGGCATATAAGTCGACTTTCTCTCACTCTTCAACCCATAACAGTCCTCGTGCGCAGTGGTTAGTCATCATGGGCCTGTCGATCGTTTAAAGTGAAGGCGACGACCGAACAGGCCTGCAGACTACATCACGATGAAAACATGCAAAGTAGATGACCCAACGTCAACGCAGGCTCCAGAGCGTTTAGGTTTCGGTTGTATGAGGCACCAATCTAGGAATGTTATCTGCTCGACGACTTGATAATTGGCTATAATGGGCTAGTAGCTACCGCCATCGGCAAGGTGCCCACGGCAAGCGCTATACGGAGACTTATTACATCCTGCCACCACATATCGAACCCACTGAGTCGTCATTATGGGGCTTGCGCTACTCGACAACAGCCTCTCCAGCCTCCTTCTCCCTCGCTATACGCCTTTCCTCGTCCTTCGCACGCTCCGCCTCATCCTTCTTACGCTTCTCCTCATCCATCTCACGATAACTCTCCGCCAGCCTATGCACCCTGTAAAAAAGCGCAATCATCGCCTCCCTCTCACTCACGACCGACTGACCCTTCGCCAGCGTCCAATCACCAACCAAGAAGCGCGCAACATGACCCTCCCAACGGACCGCACCAGGAATCCAGGATTCCGGTTCCAATTCCCACTTGATTGTGATGGCGATAGACTTTTGGCCTTCTACCGTTGACGCATTGAACTGGGTTGGGAAATCAAAAGATTGCTTCATACTGTCGAGTGAATCGTTGGAGTCGCCGCCGTCAACGAGGGTTGTTGCACCGGAATGGAGCTCTGCATCTTTGTCATTCTGTGTGCCCTCCCACGTGTAATGTCGTAGATGCTTTCTTCCCACGTCGAGAAGATAGATGATGTCCTCTTGACTTATGTTAGTCAATCACTTCCGATGGAAGAGGTGGCACTTACTACACCAAGGCTGGTACTCCGTAGAAGTGAAGACTCCTAGTTTCTTGTCCGTTATGACGTATTCGACCTGGTTCTTGAAGTTTGGGTCGCACTTCTTTTCGTCCATGATTACTGTAGTCTTGCTGTATTCTTTGCGCGGAAGAAGCTGCGGACTGGCAGCAACAAGCCTATTATATAATACCTTCGTTTGATGTCAAGCCCAATCGGTGGCGTGTGCAGCAGTCTGGCTTGCTACCCATTCGCAGCATGAGGTGGCTGGATACGTGTCGCATGTTGCTGCATACATGTCGCTAAGTCATGATCAGTAGCTACCTCTCAAAGTAATGCATGCCTCTACCTTGAACACGGTTTTAACAGTAGCTACCTCTTAAGGTAATGTATACCTCTACCTTCAACATGCTTCTGCAGCATGCGACACGAAGTCTAGCCACCCCTCGTGGCGGCGCAAGATGACCTAGCCAATCACGCCTTTCCGCATATTTGCGAAAGCGGCTTCGAGCAATCGAGCTACATACCCACAACATCTCGACAAGCATCACTCAGAGTCAGGCAGTCTTAGATGATTGTATGGTACCGTTCATAGTTTGGTACAGGCCTAGTATACATTATGGTAGAGCAAATGACAACCAGCAAGAAATTCTCGCGGCCAAGAGATGAAGCACAGGGCACTAGTAATATAGACAGGCCATGAAGGTAGCCTCAATGATCGCCATGAACCCCATCACTCATACTCTCGTGCCAAAGTAACGACCTTCTGGAACACATCGAGCAGTGCATCTGTCGGCGAGGAGGTACTCCTTCCCTTGGCCAACACATACCCATCAACGACAATAAGAACAACACTGCCCTCGAAGACCGTCGCGCCACGGGAGTCCTTCTCCGCGCCCTCGTAGCGTCGGATATCTAACTTGTTGTCGCAGTCCTGGCGGTTCTTGGCGCTAAAGGCAGGGCGGCTGATGGAGTGCTCGAGTGATTCCGTCTGCCAGGCATGGTCGTGCATGAAGGTGGGGTTCGCGAGGAGAGCTTCAATGGCCTCTTCAACGTGTTAGCAAACATATCAACATGTTGAAGAGGGTGAGACGTACTGAGGAAAGGTGTGTAGTCTGGACCGGTGAGAAGCGGGAGACCACGGTACTTCTGGTCCGCTAGCATTGTCTGAAAAGCGTGTCGTACTGGGTTGAAAGTCATGTTTGGAGATTGAATTTGTTGGATTGGAGTGTAGATATTTGCGAGTTATGTTTCAGCGGGATCAGGCTTTTATGTGGTCGGCGGGGTGCTTGATCTGATGCCTTACTCATGTATTCGGCTTGTTGATCGTTTGCTGCTGTCACAATGGAAGATAAAACTTTGCCAATTGTAGCGGTATCATCTCGCGGCATGAAGGCGATGTCACCGTGCCCGTGGGGACCCCCTTCTGGACGTTTGGCATAGTCCGTAAAACCCACATGCAGTGGCGCGCCACACTCACAGAACGAAGAACTCGCGAATCATCTTCTGATTTCCGTTCGCATCAAGGTCCCCAATCCATGCGGCTGGTAGAAATGTCGCGGAGAAGCCACCCTTTTCGTCCATCCCAGCCTTGATTATGCAATTCCATAATCTCGCTTCTTCTACCGGCCAGCCGGTGGTTTGGTCTACTTGGGCTTCTTCCAATTCGATCGCTCGTTTGGACACCGCCACATGTTGCCCCGCATCCCAAAGGCCCTCGCGTGGTGGGTTACGTTCTAGAAGAGCTACTGCCTTTCGTCGGGTAACAGGACAGCGGCATCGAGTTGCGACAAAATAGAGCTGAGGAATTATCGCAATGTCGAAAGTGAAGTGAGCGGTGTTGGGGTTCGTGGGCGGCCTCGAGTCGATGATTGCTTGGGCATGATGCAGGATCTTCTTGAAGTGATCTAGATAGTTGTCGTATGTCTTCTCGATGACTGTTGCTGAGCATGATACGTAAACAAACGTCGTGTGATACGAAACCTTGAGGGCGTTCGCAGCCATTAATTCATCGTTCGAGAGCGCATGATGCTTCTCGAAGCGCTGCATGTTCTCGTACCAGAGATGATGGCACGCCAACAGATTGTCGCGTTCTCGATACAGTTCAAGACTAGGATCCTGCAGAACGAGTGATCTTCTTCCCATAATATACAGATGAGTTATAGATGCATTGCGAAGCTCGAAGTAGGCCTGGTGCGCCTCGGAGAGACTCGCATATGAGCGCTTGGAGTACGAAGCAGGCATCACTTGCAATATCTCCAAATCTTCCTGAATGCTGGCGCCATAAAGCAAAGCTTGCGCCATGCCGCGGGTGAAGATGGACACCAACTTGTATTCTGTTGAGCTTCTCGAAGGTCCGGACCCATCCAATGCTACCTTTGGGGGATACGTGGTTTGTAATGAGCCCCGGTAGTTCGGTAGTGCCATGCGGGGCGCGTACATTAGTTTGAATCCGTTCCTCAAATGGGTGAAGGCGGCATGGTAGTTGCCTTGGAGGAACTCAATGCAGACGAAAAGAAGACAGAGAACGAGTCCAAGCTCCGGCGAGTAAGTGGCATCGCTCATTCGATTGACTAAGCAGCCAATGGACTTGTTGTAATGAGATAACATGACCTTGCGCTCATGATTGGCAATGAAGCCCGCGCATGCATGCTTCATATCTCCAGGCTCGGCTTGGCAAAGAGCTCCTAGAGCTATCACGGCATGGCGAACGGCTGGTTCCGAGTGAGCCATCTGCAGTACGATGCGAGACCAGAATTCTTTGTCGAAGTTGGTGGAGAGTGCAGGGCAGGCGCAATGGTAGTAGAAGTCCAGATAGCGTGCACTATCTCCAAGGCCACTGAAGGCAGAGATGGCGTTCTGTGGATCGGAGGCTCGTCCATGAGTCCAGACATGAACTTGGAACTTCGCGTCGTTTGTAGTGTAACCATCGCATTTGCGGCCAGTACATACACACCTGACAGCATTAGCTCACGGAATGATCCGCGAGAACGGGGAGTCAATGCTTACTTGAGGCATTCTGGCTTCTTCTCATCACATTTGACGCGTCGCACTCTGGAATCGATGTGTCAGCCTTTTGTCACATGCAAAGGTGTCCGCTGCGTACTTGCACGTCTTGCAGCCTGTCTTCACTTTTGGAGCCCGTCTGCGGGCTTGGAAAGACGCCTCGCTCGTCGAAGACATCCTGGATGCAGGCCAGAGATGGCGATAAGAGTACTGCGTGACTGCATGATGGAGACGCGTGAGGATAGTCGGATAAGATACGCGACGAAGGTGCGAGTGTGGCGGACGGAAGACGGCCAATCATGACATCAGCGCCCGGAAAACATCACGTGCTTTTACGAGCCGACCAATCGTGAGATGTCGAACCCGCAGATGTCCGACCACCTCATACAAGAAAGAAGCCGAACAGGTCTAGAGCGTACATCGACGCCAGGCCACCTATCTTGTATGCTTTTATGTTGATGTAGGCTGCAGGCCTGTTTAGATTTTTTCTTAGTTGACGTGCGACGACGTTGCAGATCAGGCGCGCAACGACTGGCATAGCGAAGTGCAGCATCCAGATAAGGCATTGTATCTTTTCGTCGACAGGATATGTGGCTGTGCTTACATACAGCTATGTACATGCCCGCGCGCTCCCATGCCAGCTACTGAGTCGAAACTACCTAAGATACCTAGGTAGCTTACAAGATGTCGCCGCGCTGAGCCTACATCGACGCTACGCCTTGCCATTTGCTTCTCATCATCCTATCGTAGGCTGCACGCTTCTCCAGTTTCTTCAGTTTCTTCCCTGTCTGGGGAGCACCAACCGCTCCAGCATCTTTTTCCTACCGCTAAATGTTTGGAGATTTGGCGAGGATCATTGCATGCAACCCCAGAGCGGCCTTCTCAAAACCGTCCTTGGCCAATCCGTAGACCTCCTCGTCTACCAACGGGTCATTTCCCTCCTTCTCGCAGAGGTCGCCCTTGAGAACGATCGTGGGGGCCCCAGTGCGGCCGCGTTCCGGATGGACGGCCAAACACATATAGCTACGTCTACCCTCATGTCCTATGAACATGCAGAGTTGCCAGAGTGACTGTATACCATTAGGACCGAAGATACCGTGTACCCCAAGGTTGATGACATAGTCGGACAGATAATCTGGAGAAATCCTGAGTCAGCGGAGGAGAAACCACGTGGTGCAGTGGGGAAGAGAACTTACAGACTAGACGATGCATTGCGTCCGGATTCTCCGCCCACCAGATAGCCAAGATATCTCGGAGGACCAGATATATGCGATCGTAGAGCATCTCGCGAGTGAGACGTTCGAGCGGCTCGCGATAGATCTGCGGCACATACGGTCCTGGCGATGGCTCTGGGGATGGCGACTTCGACTGTGTACCAATGACGGGCATGTGACCTGTCGGTGGCGCATACGGCGGAGATGGCGACTTCGACTGCGTACCGATAATGGGTATGTGACCTGTCGGCGGAGCATACGGCGGGGAAGGTGACTTCGACTGTGTACCAATGATGGGCAGGGGAGGTTTCGGCGGAGCATGCTGCGCGGTGGTGTGGGAAGGAGCGTACGCGGTCGGTGGTATAGCCATACGCGAAGGCTGGAAGCTGGGAACTTTCGGGGAAGGCGGTGATAGCTGGCGTACGGACGTGGTTGGAGACATGGACGGAGAGGCTAGACCGGGCGACGGAGAAGTTGAGTAGCCCCTTGGTCCAGTCGTGGCGCGAAGAGGATTCTGCGCCTGGTAGTCGTGCAGTCGCGACACTGCGTCGTTGGCGGTGCGGGAAAAGTCAGGAGGGTGGTCGGCCATCTCGTGAATGACAGTCAGTTGAGACGGGACTTGGACTTGATGGGGATGTCGTGTGTTGTGAGCGGCGACTCAGGATTTGAAAGCCCTCAGATCACCAGAGCAAGCGACCTAAGGAAAAAAGGAGTGAGCGCGGTGATTGCTAGTGGTAGTCGATGGTTTGGGGTTGCGCCCACTGAAGAGATTTCAGGTACAAAATGATAGTGAAAGTGAGTGGAAACGAGTCTTGCGCATGTCTGAAGACTGTCTGCCGAACGAGACTTTTCGAGTGAGATCCTGATCATGGAAAGCCGTTGCATTGTCCAAATGTCGACCCGAAAAAGTTAAGCTACCTAGGTACACAACGCGCTTCTGGCAGGACGTTGACGACTGACACGATTTCACAAATGGTCCCAGAAGTCGACCGGAGCAATGCATCGAGTTTCCCGGTACTAAATTTCATCGAGCGGGGTTGTCGAAGTCTCCTCTTGCTCTCATACATCAACTAAAGAAGAAACTAAGCACTCTAGAGCCCACATTCGGATAAAAACATGCAAGTAGGTAGTCTAAGTTCAATGTAGGCTCTATAGTTCTCGTACATTAATCAAGGAAGCAGCTAAGTACCCTAGAGCCTACATTAAGATAACAACATGCAAGTAGGTAGTCTGAGGCTGATGTAGGCTCTAGGATGCTCAGTTTTTTCTATTGTATGAGGTGCTCTCAAACCTCGAGCGGTCAATTCACGACAATCATGTGAAGGCGGTACCGTCGCCCCAAGTTGTCTGCAACAACAAGTTTTTCTGCGTAGCGCTGTCTAGACGTTTGCTCAGAACACAGCCTCCAGGGCTGATCGACTGCTGCATATACCACGCACACTTGCAGAACATCATCTCATGCCTTGGGCAGATTTCAACCCCGCTACGCTCTCACTTGCGAAGAGCGCTTGCGCGAAGGCACATTCCTGCATGCGCTGGCTGGAGTATCGATCCGACGACGACCGGCTTCGCCAACCTCATAACTTACTCCCCGTGTGTATCGCAACGAGTTCCTACATGGAAATCGCCATTGGCGGTTCTGTTCAGTAGTAGACACGAGCTATTCTGCGATGCGAGGCACGTGGCGGCTTTGCTGAGGTGCCATCATGGCTCCTTCCCTAGTCATCAACTCGGTGAAGCCGATAAGCGCTCTTTCCCCGTCCTACTGGCACGGCCTCGTTAATGAGCGCTCCTCTCTCGAGTGTCTGAAATTGGCCCCACAATGCAGCTCAACTATTTTCGCATTCGAGCGGCGCCTCGATTGAAGTCATCTCACCCTACTGTTACCTGAACCGCGGCGAGACGTCCACCAACGATGGAGCTGATCGACTCTGATGACCAGGACTTTGGTCCACCCTCTCCCCCCAGTTTCAACAACCTCGGTAAGCGCAGCAAGGAGCTCATGATTGCGAATGCCCTATCGGATCGACTCGATTCGGCAAGAACGGTCAAGCGCCTTAAGTTCACCAGCAAGAACCCTCAGCAGGAGTCTCAGACGCAGCTCTGGCATGAGAGATTGACGGCATTCAGAAGTGAGACTCTGTGCATCGCCGAGTCAGTTCATGCTTCTCCTACCAAAAGATCGCCCTTACTGACACGACGTAGCGCTGAGTCCACAATGCCAACTGCGCGAGATATAGAGCGGTTCATAAGCTGTATTTACAAGTATATGAAGCCAAACGGTGGCGGTCTCGTCGCCGTGGGCTCTATAAAGCGCGGCATAGAGCACACAATGAAGGCGACCACATTCTACTTTGCCGACTTCAAATCGTCGCGCCGTGACAGCATGCGCATCGATTCGCTGCTGCAGACAATGGTGCTCAAAGACCAGCTCACGAACGATGCTAAGCGGGAGAAGCAGTGGATCGGAGCGTACACGGTCGCTCGACTGGTCGACATCACTTACCGTGATTCACTGGACAACGGAACTAAGAACTAGGACAAAACACTCGCAAAAGTCCAAACCATCATTCTGCATGCGGCCCTAGGATGCCGCACTGGAGACGTCACTGAATCGGGTATCGAAAGACACAAGTTGCCGTATCTTACCTACTCGGATATCACAATGAAGCTCGTCGACGGTTCAGACCTGGAACACTTGAGCATGATGGTGCGCCTGAGAAATAACAAAGGCAAGAAGTGAGTGACTACACGGGTTAAGGGCAAAATCGCCATTGGCGATTGCAGTTCAAAAGCAGCAATGGTCCTCAATTTGCTTGCTAGATGGAGATAGGGTAGGATGTGCTGCTGCGGCGCTTTCTACGCAACCCTAGAAAGCTCTAGCTAGAACAAGACGCGTCTACAAAAAGATACTATAGTTAAGTTTAGACAGTCAATATTGCTATACAAGCGAATAAGGTTCTCACAAACATGAAACGGTGAATGTACAACCTTTTATGTGAAGATAGTATTTTAAGACTGTGTTCACAAGACGCAAAAACACTTGCAGCCTATCTACCTAGGTAGGTAGGTAAGCAAGAAACTGAACAGATGCGCTGCAGCCTACATCAGTATCAAAACTGAAAATCAACAGTTTGCTGAGACAATGTAGACATCCAGATCATGAAAAGATGCCATGTTGATCAAGTGTAGATCCAAGAAGTTAAGCTATACAATGCGGTTCTAGCAGAATGTTGACGCCTGTTCCGACAGAACACGATTTTACAGATTCACCTCATTTGAGAGAAAACGTGGACACCGTGGAGCCTACATCAACATTCAAAGATACAAGGTATGTAAATCAACGTCAATGTAGGCTCTAGGGTGTCTAGAGTTTCCTTGAATGAGGTGAATTGCCCTACGACCCGAGCGGCGCAACGAATTTAGTTTCCAAGTACCAGCTTCCATCAGGCGGGTTTGTCGATGTGTCCTATCGATCTTAAACCACGTATGCACAAATCGCGTGCTCTGCAACCTACATTAGCGATAAAACCAAGAAATGACAGAACCCTGAGGCAATGTAGACATCTAGGGTATCTACTTCACCGAGGGGTGCTCGAGCATGCTCTCTTATGTGCGACTACGAGCCGCTGCGGTTACTTCTATTGACATGGTATGATATGGACAGAGGTGACTTAATTCCACAAGGTTGTGAACAAAAGAGGAGGATCGCGACTTTGGTGCGAGTGGCGGCATCACGAGGTGGTATCGTTTCGTTGCCCGGAGAAAATCGTGGAGACGCAAATAGCATGAACTAGCCTGGATGTGGATACGACCTGCAGGGTGGGCCTAGTGTGGCCCGGGAAGTGTCAACAGTGCGCATTCACTCCTGACAACCGCCCCCATAGTATCCCTGACCCTCGTCGCACCCCACCGCGCCTTCTCTCGTTTCTGTTTACCTTGCGGACATTCACTCGCTAATCGTCCGCACCTTCCTCCGCTATCACACTTCACTCACTTACCGTCATCCACACCAAGCTACCGCCGCACACCGCGCCAGACCCGCCGCAACCCGAGCGACACCACACGTTTCATAAACCGCGATCATGGGCTTCGGCGACTTCCAGACGATATGCGAAAAGGCACCGATACCACTATGCGCGCTTGTCGGCCACCAGGAGATCAACGATGGCGTGGGCATCCAGACAGAGTGCTATGCGCGCACGATTGAGATTGCGAATACCCTCATTTTCGAGGCGGCGAACGACTTCATGCATATTTTGGCCATGATCATGACCGTCGTCATGATTATCCACGTGCGCTCCAAGTTCACAGCTGTCGGTACGTTTGCGCATTGCCGTCTATAGCCGGGGCAGTTCACTAATGCACAGCAGGTCGCAAGGAAATCACATCCTTCTTCTACATCTACCTCCTTTTGACCATCATATCGCTCGTCCTCGATGCCGGTGTCGCTGCTCCTGGTTCTGCCGCCTACCCGTACTTCGCCGCCGCCCAGAATGGCCTCGTCTCCGCGCTATGCACCTGTCTGCTCATCAACGGCTTCGTCGGCTTCCAACTTTACGAGGATGGCACTACGCTGTCCGTCTGGCTCCTACGCCTCTCTTCGCTGGCCATGTTCATCGTCGGCGGTGCCGTGAATCTCTTGACATTCAAGGGCTGGGCTGGACTGGAACCTGGAAACCCCGTCGGCATCTTTGTCGTTACCTACATCGTCAACGCCATCTGCCTCTTCGTATACACCGTCAGCCAGATCATCTTGGTTGTTGGAACACTCGAAGACCGCTGGCCGCTCGGTGATATCTCATTCGGCATCTTCTTCTTTGTCATCGGCCAGGTCATCCTATACGTCTTCAGCGACACCATCTGCGACCAGGTCCAACACTACATCGATGGCCTCTTCTTCGCAACTATTTGCAACCTGCTTGCTGTCATGATGGTCTACAAGGTACGCTTACCACTAACATCATCCAATCGAACAACGCTGACTATTTCCAGTACTGGGACTCCATCACTCGCGAAGATCTCGAATTCTCCGTCGGCGTCAAGCAACACAACTGGGAGGTCAAGGAGCCTTTCCTCGAGGAGGACCAAAAGCGTGGCACCATGTACCAAGATTCCGACTACGACGCACCATCGCTATACCAGCAACCGTACACGCGCAACTCGCACTACTCCGCCGTCGGCCACTAGGCTCACGACAACATCCCGCTTTGTTTTACTTTCGACGATACATGTTTTGCGCATACCATTTTACGGCATTGGGTGGAGTTTATGGCGCATATCAGCTTCGGCAAAATGCTTCAGCACTGTACTAGTGCTTGTGAACGGTGGCTTTTGGAATTTGGAGGAACTTGGAACCGCAAAAGCACTTGGTAATGTGCTCTTTTGCCGCCCTTTGCAGACGAGATCATGACATATTTAGCGCTTATATAGTAATATCAACTCTTCACAATCGACCGAAGTCCTCCCTGCGCACACCGTCGTCTCATACAAGGGAGGGAACGAGCAGGTGCCCCACAGTTTACATTGGTTTAAAGACAAATCTACGACAAGATCTCAAGGCAATGTAGACTTCTAGGTCATATACAGTCTTGTTCCTGTAGGTGGGTGTCTTGATGTATTCTTTACATGGGGTTTTGTCCGAGCCGAGGCTTCCTGGGGCCGCGTGGAAAGCGCCGCAGCAGCACAACCCATCCCATCCCCACCTGGCAAGCAATGCGAAGACCATTGCTGTGGACAACCTTGAGATAACGTCTTCACATGATCCTCGTACATTCACCGCTCGAAGTTTGGATGAACCTTACTCCGGCCCCTTCCCCGGATTCGCTGCACCGATGATACGCTAGTGAGCGGGTCGATGTTCATCCCCGCAGCATGTCCGATGCACCCTCGGGGCTTCATTCGGCAGGTATAACTTCGCGGAATGCTATCATTTCGCGATGCACTATTACTGCACCATTAATTGTTGCTGTAAGGAGTAGTATCAACCATTCATCGCATACAATCGCCTTTCATCTCATCTTTACCGTTTACGGGCTCACCCATTAGTGCGCCAAACTACAGCAATTCGATAACGAATCGATATACTACGTTGACGCGATGCCAAAAACGGATGTTCTCATATCCGGTTCCGGTTCAGCTGGTGTCTTCGCAGCAACTTGGCTAGCAATCTACAATATCCCATTTACGATTCTGGAGCGACGTCCAGGTCCACTAAAGATTGGCCAAGCAGATGGCGTCCAGGTGCGCACAGTAGAGATCTACGAGTCATTTGGTCTATCGGAAGATCTGTTGCGTGAGGCATACCATATCTTGGAAGTATGCTTCTGGGGTGTTGATGAAGATGGCAATGGCAATGAGCAAGGTGGCATTAAGAGGAAGAGCAGATCTATCGATACGGAGAAGGGCCTGAGTCATTTGCCACATGTGATCCTGAATCAAGCGCGCATGAACGGACTGATGCTGGGAAAGATGGAGACCATCTTGAAAGAGCAGGGAAGATGGAAAGAAGGATCTAGCAACGGGATCGAGTATGGCTGGGCCGTCAAGAGCGTGAACATCGACGAGAAGAGAAAGAACGATCCGAACGCGCATTGTGTCAAAGTGACCGCTGAGAAAGATGGCAAAGAGGAGGTCTGGGAAGCGAAATACGTCCTAGGCTGCGACGGCGCGCATTCCACCATTCGCAAAGCCCTCGATATCCGCATGTTAGGCGACTCTTCCGATACTGTTTGGGGCGTCATGGATATTTACCCACTTACAACCTTCCCCGACATCCGCCGCAAGTGCACCATACACAGCACCGCTGGCAACTTGATCATCATCCCACGCGAAGGCGGCCAACTAGTTCGATTCTACATCCAGCTACCCCCCGGCACGCAGCCCAAGACAGTGAAACTGGCCGACTTGCAAGACCAGACTCGAAGGATCTTCACGCCGTATACAATGGACTTTGCAGATGTTTTCTGGTGGAGTGCATACAGTATTGGGCAACGCCTCGCTGAAGTCTTCCATGCGCATAACCGCGTCTTCTTGACAGGCGATGCGTGTCACACGCACTCACCGAAAGCAGGCCAGGGGATGAATGTGTCGCTTCAAGACGGTTACAATATTGGCTGGAAGCTTGGCTCCGTTCTTTCTGGTCTTTCACCTTCTTCTCTGTTATCGACATACGTTACCGAACGCAGTAAGACCGCAGCTGATCTCATCGCCTTCGATAAAGAGCTAGCAAAGATGATCAGCAGGAAAGATCGGTATGAAGGCGAGTTTGCGGACTACTTTCGGAAGAGCGGGCGGTATATGGCGGGGTTCACGGCGAGGTACGAAGACACCGTTATTACCAAGGGGATGGAGAAGGAGAAGAGTGCGGCTACGGCGGTCACGGTGGGGACGCGTTTTCCAAGTGCGCAGGTTATACGGTTTTGCGACTGTAAGGCTGTGCAGTTGATGAGTGTGCTGAGGAGTGATGGGAGGTGGCGCGTCGTGGTGTTTGGAGGGGATGTCAACCAAGCGCAGCATCGCGAGCGACTGGCCAAGGTA